AGTGCTGGGACGTTGAGAACACTAGGATTGAATTCCCTACACCTATAGGTCTTGTACAAAAGGATACAGAAAAACTACTCTATCTAACAACTGTGTTGAACTGCTTAAGTATACTGTTAGAAGGACAATTGGACCCGGAGCGGTAGACTAGCTTATCGTGCATGCAGGTGCCAACAGGGGCTCAGATAGTACAGCAGCGCGATGCCTGCCAACATGTATGCAGATAAGGAACAACTCGGAACCGTACCGGTGGTCATTCGGTTGCGGTCGTTACAGTCCTTGGTGTCCTATTGATCGTTGTCGACGTGGGTCCTCTGCAAGTGGGTTGGTATATGAGGTTCCATGATGTTCCATGAGGTTCCATGATGTTCCATGATGTTCCATGGGATTCCATGATGTTCCATGGGATTCCATGAGGTTCCATGAGGTTCCATGAGGTGTGACTGGGTGGATTATTATTGGCTGCAAGCCATGTCAGGATGACAAAAGTGCTCTTTGTTGACATTTGTGAGCCCTCCACAATACCACCGCTCGACCTCATCTTGATACACTGTCTTCAGTGGCCCAAAGACTGACACGTCACAGGGCTGTGTCTTATGAGACGTGTGGAAGGGCAGCCTACACAAGACGATGTTGTTGTCAAAACAGAACTCAAGAATCTCAAGGGATTCATGCGTCCCAAAGCCATTGCAGATTAATATGCGTGGCTTCCCATCAGCACGCGCTTTGGTCTGCGGGTCAAACACTTTTGTGATCCACTCTAGGCTAAGGAAATAGTCATTGTAACCTGTCTCAGAAAGAGCATAGAACCACCCAGGCGTAGGATGCGTCGTCCAGTTACTCCTGTGCGTGGATGCAGGCCAGATGATCATCGGGTTGAGATACTCACCACTTGCTGACACGCACTTGACAGCAGTCACCATGGTCCGCTTAGTGCCAGCTCCTCTGTAGTCCCGTCAATCGTCCTTACCTATGAGGACTGTTACGGAGGCCAGCATAGAAAGCATGACGCCTGTCTCGTCCATGTTGTAGGTGTTCTCTGGCAAGACGTCTGCTCTGTCCAGTTCCTCCTTGATCATGTCAAACCAATGTACCACCTTATCATATATGCTGTTGTCATGACGCTCCCACGGCATGGGCCTGCTGCTCCTTGATCTGATCTGTGGGTGGCAGCGATGAAAGGCCTGAGGCCAGTTCTTGTTTGGCGGCTCAGACGATCGTTTGGTGGCACGTCGGCGGGCAATGCAAAAGGCAAGCGCAGGTATGTACTTAATGCGTATGGGAGTGCCTAATGCGCTCATTTGCAATATAAAGTCAACGAGAGCCTTCTCTTCAGACGGACTGAGGTATTGCTGGCTTTGGGCCTTTTCCTTCATTGAAGGCCGTCCGCGCTGCCGGTAGTATCGGGTATGGTAGGGGATCTCTTCTTTGGCCTGCGCGGGAGAGGCACGCTCCATGGGCACATTCGTTGTAGCAACTTGCGCTTGCAGCTGGCTGACCGACTGCAGACTTACTGTGGTGTTGTGGGTGCTGCCGTTCAGGCCAGCAAGACGCAGGACGGCTTCAACCCCCAGTGACCAAACAAAGGACTAAACAAGGGAGCCTGCCAAAAATAGACCGCACGTGATCAGCGTAGAAGCTTCGAGAAGCGCGCACTCCAGCGTCGTTCATGTGCTCACCAGCTACCGTTGGGTCTGAAGATGCTACCACGCCATACTGGCTGTGCCTCAATAGACTGAGCTGCAGCTACCCATTTGCAGTACTTAACGGCGCGGTGGTGTTGCTCTGTAGAACTGTGTACTTTCTGGTTCTGCGACGTTGCCAGTTCCGAACATTACGCGCTTTCCCTACGCCTGCTTTATGTCGACAAGCCGGTGTAAGGAAAGGCACGCTCGTCGAGACCACCATTTGGTAGCGCAGAACAGGGGCAATATCAGGACAAGGAGGCAGTACTGTGGTGTCGTGTCACTGCGCCACAATCTAACTCTGTAGGGTTAACCAGAGAATAGAATACAGCATATAATACACTGCGCTGAAGCTTACCGTAGTTAGTCAGCACATGCGCGCCATCACCAGATGCGCCGAAGCCCCCCAAGCAGCTTATACAGAATTGAGGCTGTAGAGCCATGTACAATAGCTATTATCACGAGAT